TCATTTTTTTGCCATTCCGACAGTCGGGTCCTACTTCAAGCTGAACCAGACATGCTTGTAGATCAAGAAGCGAAAATTGCACAATTCAACAGAAGGATGTTCATCTTACCTGCTCTGACTCCGTAGAAGTCCAGCTCTTTAAGCCATGGTTGCCAGCCAGCGGGGGTCTGAGTGACGACGAACCTCCAGTACCGCGCTGTTCCCTGGAACCCGCCGAACTCCTGGCGCTTGTTCGTCCCTACCTGCACGTTACCGACGGACTTGACGTCCTCCCAGTTGTACGGACTCCCACTCTGCGACTTTTGCAGCTTGAAGGCTTTAACGTCGTGCGTGGTGTCTCCTAAGCTCTGTACCGCGATTTGTGAGAGAGTGTGGGGCGCCTTGAGATCCAGCACGATGTACCAGTTGTTGAAGTGACGGGCAAGGTCTTGTGGGTTCCAGTAGGTCGTAGTGTCCCCATCCAAGGCTTTAGCGGCATCGTATGTCTTTCCTCCATTCTTATAGGGTCTGCCGGCGGAGTCCACAACCCAGGACGCGTCCCTCTGCAGCCATGCAGCTGGAGAGGATATTGCAGAGTGGAAGAATTTAACTCGATTGCCTAAAAGACGAACTACCAAATGCAAAAACACAACGCACTTCGAGAGAACATAGCTTCAATTCATTGCTTTAAGAAGGTTGTAAAATAGATGTTGTAAATTGAGTAAAATTAATAATAACAATATCAACATTGCGTCAAAACATATTTTCTGCAAACATTGAGCTTTTCTAACTTTCTAACATTTCCCTTTAATTAGACGACTTGAGAGTATGCAAATTTTAAACGAGCCTAAACAGTTGTGTTCAGATGAACCTGAACATTTCCCACCTGCTCCTGCTCCAGACAGGCCTCCCGCAGAGAAGCCTCCCCCACCAGAACCTCCGGCAGAAAAACCTCCAGCAGAGAAGCCTCCCCCAGCAGACCCTCCGCCAGAAAAGCCTCCTCCTGTAACATATGGTTTTATAAACTCCAAACTAGACTTCAATATACGCCCTCCTGTAACATATGGTTTCTCATACTCCAAACTAGACTTCAAAATTTGACCCCCTGTAGCATATGGTTTCTCAAACTACAAAATAGACTGCAATGTAAACCCTCCTGCAACATATGGTATCTCAAACTACAAAATAGACTGCAATGTATACGCTCTGCTGTAACATATGGTATCTCAAACTACAAAATAGACTGCAATGTACGCTCTGCTGTAACATATAGTATCTCAAACTACAAAATAAACTGCAATGTACGCTCTGCTGTAATATTTAAACATAATAAAGAACAGAACGATGTTCGTCTTACCTGCCCTGCTTCCGAACAAGTCCAGTTCTCTCAGATATGGCTGCCAGCCCGAGTGGGTCTGAGTGACGACGAACCTCCAGTACCGCGCTGTTCCCTGGAACCCGCCGAACTCCTGGCGCTTGTTCCCTTGTTGCACGGTACCGACGGACTTGACGTCCTCCCAGTTGTACGGACTCCCACTTTGCGACTTTTGCAGCTTGAAGGCTTTCACGTCGTGCGTGGTGTCTCCGAAGCTCTGTACCGCGATTTGTGAGAGAGTGTGGGGCGCCTTGAGATCCAGCACGATGTACCAGTTGTTGAAGTTCCTTCTGGTGTTAATGGGGTTCCAGAAGGTCGTGGTGTCCCCATCCAAGGCTTTGGCGGCATCGTATGTCTTTCCTCCATTCTTCCATGGTGTGCCGGCGGAGTCCACAACCCAGGACGGATCCCTCCGCAGCCATGCAGCTGGAGAGAAGATTGCAGAGTGGAAGAATTTAACTCGATTGCCTAAAAACACGAACTACCAAATGCAAAAACCCAACGCACTTCGAGAGAACATAGCTTCAATTCATTGCTTTAAGAAGGTTGTAAAATAGATGTTATAAATTGAGTAAAATTAATAATAACAATATCAACATTGCGTCAAAACATATTTTCTGCGAACATTGAACTTTTTTAACCCCCTAAACATTTTCCCTTTAATAGAAGAACTTTATTGCACGACAATTGCACATGGTACAATGTATGGCAAACTACATTAGACGACTTGAGAGTAGACAACTTTTACATGCGCCTAAACAGTTGTGTTCAGATGAACCTGAACATTTCCCACCTGCTCCTGCTCCAGACAGGCCTCCCGCAGAGAAGCCTCCCCCAGCAGACCCTCCGCCAGAAAAGCCTCCCCCTGTAACATATGGTTTCCCATAATGTAAACTAGACTTCAATATACGCCTTCCTGTAACATATGGTTTCTTATACTCCAGTCTAGACTTCAATATACGCCTTCCTGTAACATATTTTTTCTCAAACTCCAGACTAGACTTCAATATACGCCTTCCTGTAACATATTTTTTCTCAAACTCCAAACTGGACTTCAATATACGCCTTCCTGTAACATATGGTTTCACAAACTCCAAACTAGACTTCAATATACGCCTTCCTGTAACATATGGTTTCACAAACTCCAAACTAGACTTCAATATACGCCCTCCTGTAACATATGGTTTCTCAAACTCCAGACTAGACTTCAATATACGCCCTCCTGTAACATATGGTTTCTTATACTCCAGTCTAGACTTCAATATACGCCTTCCTGTAACATATTTTTTCTCAAACTCCAGACTAGACTTCAATATACGCCCTCCTGTAACATATGGTTTCTTATACTCCAGTCTAGACTTCAATATACGCCTTCCTGTAACATATTTTTTCTCATACTCCAAACTAGACTTCAATATACGCCTTCCTGTAACATATTTTTTCTCAAACTCCAAACTAGACTTCAATATAAGCCCTTCTGTAACATGTGGTTTCTCATACTCCAAACTAGACTTCAATATACGCCCTGTCAGCCCCTCCAACGCATAGACATGTTAATATTCCAAATAGATCCGTAATTTTTGTGTCTTTCTAACGATCAGACCTTACTCATACGCACAAATACGCAGAATGGCCATGGAGCTATTAGAGGATCTTTTAAATTTGACTTTTTTTTTACCAATCAGATTTTACTGCAAACTGTACTATACGTTGGGAATTAGCTGATGTCAAGTGAAGCTAAAATCAGCACAATTTTTTTTTGTAATTTACACTTGAAGATGACAACTAGCGAGTTTGTAATAAACTGCACATAACAACCATGTTTATTGACAATGGAGATAAAGAGTTCAAAGTCGAGTGTTTACCTGATTGTCCACCACAGACGTTCCCTTCTCCTGGACCTGAAGGAAATACACGTAAGGACATCACCTTATTATTATGAACAATAAAGAAGACTGAAATGGTCCATCATGGTCTGCTCAATAACAGTTTGAGATTGCACACAGACGTAGCGTCAATAGTTTCTTATGGGGTCTGCCTAAATACCACAACCAACCACAACCGACCGCTTCCTTAGGTAATATGCAGTGCAAATATGCTAAAAACCCTTTTTAACTCTCTGGATACATTGTCTATGCTTGTATGAATAGCAAACACACTGCAATACGAGTCTAAATCCCTCCTAGTATAAAATTGCAACATAAAGTAAACCAACACCAGTTACCATGGTGACAGGCGTCAACAAATCAGGTCATTTGCCAGGTCAGAGGTTAGTGTTTGGAGAAGAAGAAGAGGAAGAGGAAACTGAGCAAAAACAATATGTTTTCCTTCGGTAAACATAATAAGAAATTATGCCGTTCCACTGACCAATTTGGCAGATGAAGTACTTCTGGTGAGCACAGTTATCGTCGTCCCACTTGTAGCCGGCGGCTTTCCACATCTGCCCGCAGTCCTGGCCCCACAGGAAGTTGTCCGGCTGCCCGGGCGCCCAGTTCGTGAAGTCGCAACCTTTGATGGGGCTTCCGTCCGACCAGGTCCAGGTCTTGGCAACCTGAACATGTGAAGAAAAAAAGTGTTATCCTTCTGTAATTCTCAAGTTTTTCATGCAGTTGCATGGGTATCTATCTATCTATCTATCTACTAGTATCTATCTATCTATCTATCTCTTTCTATCTATCTCTTTCTATCTATCTCTTTCTATCTATTTATCTATCTATCTATCTATCTATCTCTATCTATCTATCTATCTATCTCTTTCTATGTATCTATCTATATATCAATCTATCTATCAATCTGTGTATCTATCTATTTATCTGTCTCCCTCTCTGTCTCTGTCTGTCTGTCTGTCTCTCTCTCTCTCTCTCTCTCTCTCTCTCTCTCTCTATATATATATATATATATATATATATATATCACATGTACATTTACAAAATGAAGAGCTTCGGGCTATTTTGCTGACAATATGCATTGGTATTTCACAGACAGCATTTCTTTTGTTCTCTATCCGGCCATCTGTGTCAGGGACACCTACAATTGACGCCCCCTTTTCTGTCAATCATAATCCATTCCGCTCCACTTTTCAGACATTTGCAATTGTGTTGTCCGCATGATACACTTTTTAGACACATCTGACAACAACACATTTGGACTAGTTACATTTTACATATCACTACTTTTCCTCATTTCCAAAAATGTGGAATGTATACGCCTGCTTGTTAAAATGTTATTTACGTGCCTGTAAAACTATTTAGGTATAGTATCGGTATGTTGGACCTATACCCCACTCTTTTTGCGGTGCTGCACCGGTACCGAGCACTAAAGCACTTATCGTTTTCTCATTATGAACAATATTGAACTGCAATTGCCAAACACATTAAAAATCCAAAGAGTCCATTTTTTTGGCAATTGCAGTTCAATCTTTGCAGTTCATAATTACTTCTACAATTCAGCGTTCGTAACTCGAAAATAAGGGGTCCAGGGTTCGAGTCCTGACATGCCACCGTTCTTGTGCCCTTGGGAAAGACACTAACACGACTTTCCTCACTAGACTTAAGTGAAAATGAGTATTGTCTGACCATTATTCGTTTCTATATGTGGGACACAACACCAGCAACAACAGTCTCTGTTCCGCGTGTATTGCACTGTTGCAATTCCAATAAATCAGATCAAATCAACACAGATAAACTTTCAAGATTACCGTTTTCTCGTTGAGTCCGAACCAGTAGTCCCTGTTGAAGTCGACTTTGCGGATCAGACCCAGGACGAAATCGTGCAGGCTCCTGGTTTTGACATTGGCGAGGCTCCCGCCGATGGACGTGCAGTGTTGCTTGGCCTGGGCGTAGTTCTTGGCTTGGGCGAAGACGTGGTAAACGGTGTTACCGCGCGCTGTACGGGAAGACACATAAGGATAAATCACCAATATAGGAATTAAGATTCCAGTTTGACTTTAGGTAGGGTTTTTGTAAGTGAGTAAGATGAACGGAAGCGGTTTTTCATCAGGCTATATTTTGAATGGACAGCCCACACGACGGGTGAGTGGTCGCACGACGGGTGAGTGGTCGCACGACGGCAAGTTAAGTGTATTGTTTGAGACAGTCCCGGATGCGCCGTGCTAAAAACGTTAACCACAGACCCCAGTCTACATTCAGTTATCTGTCTTAGAATTACTGAGAAATCCTTGACGAAAACGGCCAACATTGTAGTCAAAACGTCTCATACCCAAATGGACAAAACGTCTGTGTAAAATGTTACATAACATCTAGTCCCACTAACCTCCTTGTGCAGCCGACTGAACATTCCCGCCGCGCCCGCCGCCGGCTCCGATGCCTGTGCCCAAAAACCCGCCCTGGCCAAAGATTCGGCGGGACTGTTCCTTCAGCTCACCAACATCGGACAACTAGGACGAAAACAAGTAAATGTATTAGGCACTACATGCAGTATTTACCGGTGTTAACACTACTTCATTGCTTGACAATCGTTTGTGTTGCAATGGGGTCGTGTGGTGGAGCAACGGCAGGGTGCTTGACTCGGAACCAAGAGGTCCCGGGTTTGAGTCCCGACATGCCACCGATCTTGTGCCCTTGGAAAAGGCGCTTAACACGACTTTCTATGCTTAACTCAAGTGAAAATGAGTATTGTCCGTCCTGTATATTTCTATGTGTGGGACACAACACCAGCAACAGTCCCACGAGTATTGCACTGTTAAAGTTTCAAAAAATTAAATCAAATCAATGCATGGCTACAATTCTCATTTCTATAACTATAAATCATTATCGGTAACATTATCGGACTTTTCAGCCACCAGCGGGCGTGCAGCAGGAGAGAGAAGGGCCCCTGACAATCTTCGGATACGAAGCCAAGCCAAGATATTGCTTTTACAGGGTGAAACGACAGTGGAGAAGATATGAATTATGACATTACAACATTGACAAATATGTAAAACATGGAATCTCATACTTGTTTCTCCATGCAGGATGGCATTATTGTTTGTATTTAGAACACATTTATACTTGCCAAATGTAAAACAAGGCGAAAGGTACACACCTCTTCAGTTAGCCCATCATCTTCTGCCTCTGCCTTGCTGATGTCTCCAGCTGCAGTGGAGATGAGAGCCGCTAGGAGGAGCAGCAAGGCCCACCCCATGTTGCGCATGTCTGCTCCAGAGGTAGGATCCGCCACTGGTCTCAGGTCTGTTGTAAGGTAGACAATCAAGACAGTGTGGTTCTCGGTATATCACTTCTTACAACACACTTGCAAATATGTTCTTCAAATACCACAAAAGGTCAAAGTCTTCTTACAACACACCTGCAAATAAGTTCCACCTATACCACAAAAGGTCAAAATATACATTAATTCATGCAAACTTAAAATGGCAATTCCGTGTTTGGTAACTTTTAAGGTGAATAATTGAATATTTTTCACAACCACTTGAGAGGACAAGACTTGATGTTTCGATGGCCGTCGGTCATCTTTATTTCGACATTTGGGGTATCGTTGTCAGCAGTAACACCTAGCCTCCGTGCTATGGCAGAATAATTGGCCTGATGACCTTTTCAGAAGCTCATACGAGTACAGGAGTAGTGATACCAGTTAACATCCCCGATGGCTATATTGCTATGATTCATATACGGAGCAAAGGTCATCACACCGACTCTAGTCTAAAATCTACTCCAAATCTTTAAAAAATGCCATTAAACATTAGAAAATGTGTAAAGGCCATCGACAATGAACGCAGTACCAAACCGATACGAAAACGGCAGTACTAAACAGCGTGAACAGGCGCCTTTATGTACCAGTGACCTACTTGATCACCGAGCGTTTAATGGCAGCCGAAGCGTTTTCCCTTCCATGTGACAACGCCCCTTTTCTTAATCTCGAAGCAAAAATACTCTAACATGTACAGAATCTTCCTTTAACCAACCTTCCCAAAGTTCGAGAGCAGTCAGGTTTAGGCCATTCTTGCCTTTTTAGTCGAATCGAATCAGATTTGAGGTAAATATGATCATTGCACATTTGGCATTGCTGACCTTCTCCCTCAAACCTGTCAACCACCAGCCTATCAGTGTCCACATATTAAACCTCCGGTCCACATTCGCATGTTTTAAACATTCGACTGGTACGTACAGCGTATCAGTAGCCAACCGCAGCCGACTTTACCCCCAATATATTCCTAACCATGGTTTGGGGGAAGGGGGACCGGGTGGTGTTCGGCTGTGTTCGGGATGACAAATGTATGACGGAGGTTTAATAAACAATATCCAATAGGCAAGACAGTACCAAACTAGCCAGGCAGTATCAAATTAGCAGCAGCACAGTGATTTTGTGGGGATTCGATTTAAGTATTTACTGTTGAATGCAAACAAAAGAAAACATTTAGAACCACTTTAAGGCCTTACTACAGATACTGTGGTAAAACTGGTTTCCTCCTTGGTACTTTTTATGGGCCAGAAGATGTAACAATAGGGCAACAACGCCCCTTTTTCTGTCAAAATATCAGTATCTGGACATTTTTACATCTTGGTCCAGATGCTTTTACTAAGTGTACTATTATCAAAAGCGATTAGGGAGATACTTTAATAATTACACGATTTGGCTATGTCAAGCACCAATAAAGTAACTAACAAGATTTCCTGCTTTTATTCCTGACACTTCAGGGTGACAGGTGGAACAGAAAAAAAAAATACAAAAGCGAGCATGAACAATAGGCGACTTGATATGAACGTAAAAATCAGAACTTCATACCGACGGAAAACATTTCGGCAAGATCTGACTATGCTAGCGACTTGGTTGAAGATATTAGGGTGGGGACATCCAAAGGAATATTAATTTACTTAAAGTAGAGGCAATCGTGTGTTGTATACCAACTATGGACCACAAAACATCTGTTCAAGCAACCAACATTACATCAAAATCAATGCAAGAACAGTCAGCCTGTGCACCACATGATGTGACCAAATGTAACAGACGGATAGGAGGTGTACAGGTCATGCCCGTTGCCAGGATTTTGAATGGGGGGGTGGGGGGTCTTCCTACTATTTGAGGGGCCAGCGAGCGTCATAAGGGGGCCGGCGGCATTCTTCCCCGGAAAATTTTGAAAAATGAACCTTCTGAAATGGCATTTCCTGCGATTTTGAGAGGATACCAAAAAAAAAAAAGTCAAAGTGTGCAGTTTTTCTACGATTCCAGCCCCGCTGGTGATACGAATCAGTCCGTCTTTTGAAGAAAAAACTTTGACCTTAATATAAAAAGGGACCTTTGAGCCTTGTGTGTGTGTCCGAACCCCTCCTCCCCAGCTACGGGCAGGCAGTTGTGCACCATGTACAGCAGACTCTTCTGTCTTAAGTTATGGAGGAAGATTACTGCACTTTAAGCAAAGTTTAGTAGCAGAAGCATGTTTTATCATCATTCGACAGCTCCGCGATATGGCAACTATGTAAAAAGCTAAGATATTTCAATCTGTGCTTACCTGTGAGACAGACGATGTGACGCCGACAAACCGCCCTGACAGACTGACCGAACTTAGTTATCAGCTATAGGATTTAGTACAAGCCTTAGGCATTACAGCAGTTAAAAAGGACCCATCCTCGACACTTTTTATGGGTCAAAAATAACAAAAGGCCGGAGAAGACTACCACCACAGGTGCCACGTTCCTGCCAGTTTGTTCTAACAAAGATTTTATGTGATCAAACATGTTCTTGACCAAGAAAACCTTGCGTTATAACAGCGTCAACATCATCGGGAAAATTGCGCTTATTTTTCTGTTGCGACTAGTCAAATAAGCACTTGTCGTATAAAAGCCTGGAGGGCATCTCGAGCGTTCCCATTCCAACTCAGTTTTATTCTTTTTCCTCTTTTGACACTAACAACTCTTTTGAAAATGTCGTAAACGTTTCAGTTTAACATTACAAATGTATAAAAGCGTTATTTAGACCACACTTAGTCATTGGCTATAGGATTTAGCACCAGCCTAAGGCTTTATGGCAGTTGAACTGGACTCATCCTCGACACTTTTTATGGGTCAAAAATATAACAAAAGGCCGGAGAAGATTGCCACCACAGGTGCCGCGTTACTGCCAGTTTGTTCTAACAAAGATTTTAGGTGATCAAACATGTTCTTGACCAAGAAAACCTTGCGGTATAACAGCGTCAACATAATCTGGAAAATTGCGCTAATTTTTTCTGTTGCGACTTGTCAAACAAGCACTTGTCGTATAAAAGCCTGGAGGGCATCTCGAGCGTTCCCATTCCAACTCAGTTTTATTCTTTTTCCTGTTTTCCACTAACAACTGTTTGAAAATGTCGTAAACGTTTCAGTTCAGCATTTCAAGTGTATACAAGCGTTAGTCAGTGCAGGGGCTCAATAAAAGTTACCTAAACACGGTGGAGTAACACAACAGACAGTACTCACCAGACGGTGTGGTCTCCACAAGCCGGGCCGCCAGACTGAGCAGACTCAGGTCTGTACAGCGGGTCTGGACTCTTCAGTTAGCCCGAGGGCTTGGGCAGATTCGGGTATAGGAGGCCTGGCTGTTAAATTAGCCCGAGGGCTAAGGTAGCGTGGGGGAGGGCGGGGGTGGACTCAGGTTGGTACAGGAGACCTGGGCTCTTCAAATGGCCCGAGGACTGGGTTAGCATGAGGGAGGGAGGTTTGCATTAGTGTGGAAGTAACAGATTTAACCTATACTTGATCTATAGGCTTAAGGTATGTTATATATGACGGTTCTGAATGGGTGGCAGGGGGGCTTAATATAGAATTGTTACTTTTCTATTTTCTTTGGTAACGTTTGGAAGGAAAATGTATCAGCTACAATGATTTACAAAGTCATTGTGAAGTGATAGTAATTACAATTTGGTGTGGCGTGATGAATCAGAAATAAAAAGACAAACTCAGTAATTTTCACTTTTACCTCTTTAATTATTCCCTTACTAAGGTAAAATTCTACTTAAGTTGAAAACTAAACCAACAAAGAAAAACGAGAAAAAAGAAAGATGATATCAATGACTGGTAAAGAGTATGCCGGAAGATAGATTTAAGGCAGATCTGTTTGACCTATAATGGTACAGTAAAAGATAGTTGTAAAGTGTACTAGTCTTATAGAAACTGAAACAGGCTTGGAGGGCCTGGAACTTATTTCAGCAATGAAGATCAAGCTTTGTCTGCTCCACCTCTTAGGAGGATGAACGGTGATGATGAAGATTAAAGTGTACTTTTAGATGCGTTTTAAAACTACATTGTAAGATACGATACCAATCCACAAAATCCTGACCTTCGCATTACAACTACTTAACCCTTGATATTCCCATCTATCAAACTGAATTTGTTTTTACATGCAGTATTAACGTAACATCCCTAAAACACCATTACTTTACTTGTATATAATGTCAAAATCAAAAAAAACTACTTTAAATTTCGTCGACAACATCACTCAAAATCATCAGACGACATCCTGCTCATCCTCGGTCTCCCTCAGCTCTTCTAAAATCGCGTCGATGTCATCAAACAGCTCATCTTCATCCGCCACCTCCTCATCCTCGCTGACATCCTCTTCCTTCAGGAGGGAGGACCGCAAATCTTCCAGGGCGCTTTCTTGGTCGGCATCCTGTTCTACTTCTCGCACTAAGTATGGTAAGAGAGTAACAACGAGGAAAATGTTTCTCAACAATCGCAAAATGTATTACCTACAAGAATGTGACAAAGAAAGTAAAAATCGTCCCATGCAATAGGCTTAGTGTTATCTAACATGCACCTACTCGTTGTTGATAAAATATATGGCCGGTATAACCGCCCTTCGGCGTAACATACAAAGAAGTCCATATCAATGATTCAAATGTGTATTGTACTGATGTCTTCATAGGTGTAGACACAATACTTATCTCACCTGAGTTCCCTCCACAAGCCTGTGTATCGCCGGGTCCTGTTAAAGTAACGATATGCACATGTCAGTACCAGAAGTCATCACTACAGATTCACTCACACAAACACCCTCCATATATACAGACACACACACACACTCACACACACACACACACACACACACACACACACACACATAGACACAAACACACACACACACAAACACACACTCCACACACACGTGCGTGCGCGCAAGCGCATACAATAACGCACACAAACACACTCACACACACAAACACGCATACAATAACTCGCACACACAGCATAAGGCATTTACATTTTCATAAGTGTCATCTCGAAGAAATCCATCCATATACACACACGCGCACGCGCGCACACACACACACAAACACGCATACAATAACACACACACGCACAGCATAAGGCATTTACAAATCATAAGTTGTCGGGATACATTCTACACGATAGATTTCGTAGACTTAGGCTAACCGACATCCACCCATCCATGAGAGATGACTATAATCCCTTAGACATAGAACTAGATAGGCACCGTTAACGTTCTGGATACGATAGAGCCATACAGCACTAGTAGCGTGCGTAGTCCAGTGGTTAGTTCGAATCCCGGCTGTTGTCGCTCACCCGACATGCAAGCTACTGTTTAGGGTCGCAGTCCTTCGGACGGGACGTTAAGCCGTGGTCCACTGTTCATTGTGCTTGTCAAAATAGCTGGGGGGATTTCCTCGGTACAATGAACCTGTAAATACTGTACACAGCAACCGTCTTCTCTGTCACGACCAGTGGAAGATTAGCTCTTCAATGAGCTAAACTGGTTGGAGATCACTTCACACCATGCAGATGGGACAATATGACTGACCTGTCTGGCAGATGAAGAACTTCTCCTTGCTGCAGTCGTCGCTGTCCCATTTGAAGCCCGTGGCTGCCCACAGCTGGACGCACTGCGCACTCCCGATGTCGCTCGGCTCTCCCGGGGCCCAGTTCTGGTAGCTGCAGCTCGACAGGGAAGTTCCGTCCGCCCACTTCCAACCGCCGCTACCCTGCAGTGGCGTTATCGTGACTTTGTGAACAATACAATTCATCCACCTGCGCTTTAAGGATGTACATGTATTCAAACGGGACATGGAAGTCCTGGACAAAGACATTAACACATGGGAGACACTTGCAAGAAATAGAACACTTTGGAGACAGGAAGTTAAGAAGGGTTTTGTATATATACATCGTGGGGAAGACAAACGGAGACGCGCATCAGAACTCAGACGCTCTAAGCGTAAAACAAAGAAATAAGTACTTGGTGTAGAAGAAGTATCTTCCCCGTGGTCTCATGATACAGAAGACATACCTACTACTACAATTCACCCAACCATCTTGGCAAAATTGGATGCCTTAGTTTGCAGATCGTTTATATATGAACTTATGAAAATGTTTATAATATGTTTAAAGTTATTCATTTCGATCCAACACTCATTGTTAACGTCTCACTTCAAAGAAGCCATGGCCACGTGACAAGCCTCACTGGGTCAGTCTACTGAGGAAGACCAGAGTGACTGCTCGAAAGCTCTAGGTGAAATAACTTTTTGTGTTGGGTCGAAATTTTAACAACCAACACAGATGAACGTTCACAAATATTTACAGGGTGTTTGCTGGAAAGCTGTATGTTGTCGGTGGGCTGGGACCTGAAAGTGCCCAGTGGCAGTCAGGAGGGAGTCTGCCTGCGGGATCTGGCTTTTTGGGTAACTTACGGTGTATTTCAAAAGCGGTCTAATGCGGTTAATGCTTAGGCCACATTTCCAAACCAGCGCCCGGCCGGGCTGTTTGTATGAATCAATGAAAAATTAATAATTCATATCAAGAATATACAGGAATAGTGCCCATGATTGTTACTTTTCTGTGTTTTGTTGTCTTTTACATCATATTTCTCGTTCCTAAAAGCTGCCCGGCCGGGCCCCGTGTGGGAATTGTGAACTCAGCCTAACATGAATCTTACCGTGGTATCGTGAAGTCCGACCCAGTAGTTCTTGTTGCCTCCGACCTCGTTAATTGTCGGTATCAGGAAGTCGAGCAGTAATTGACTCTTCATGTCGGCAAGGTGCCCCTTCTCCTCGGTCCTACAGTACTCTTTTGCCTCTGCCACCGTCTTCGGGATGCCGACCACTTTGAAATGCGTCGGAGTTACCTCACCTTTATTTGAAAAACAAAACAAATCAACGTTGAAGAGATTCGTTTGTCACATATAGATACAGTTACTAGAGAATTCTTACAACAGTGACAAGTTATAAAGGTAAGGATACTGACCTCCAAAATTTCGATGACTATCAGTCCATCTTATACTATCATGAGAGTTCATCTGTGTTGGTAGTTACATGTGTAAAGTTAAAACTTTTGATCCAACACAACTCAGTCTACCGAGGAAGACTAGAGTGACTGGTCGAAAGCTCTAGGTGATTTCTTTGTGTTGGATCAAAAGTTTTAACTTTAAACATCAGTCCATCTTGTTCACGGAGTGGCCTATTCTGCGGCCTAGTCTCGCGCTCTCTCGAGACTAGGCCACTCCGTGAACTAGATGGACCTATAGTCATCGAAAATTTAGAGAAAATCCTTACCCTTCTAACTTGGCACTGTTGAAAGAATTCTCTAGTTACCAAAACAAATCAATCCTGTTCATTAGACTTTATCCAACAGTATTGCGGATGCCCATGTAGTCTATAGTGAGTGGTAGGATTACCATGGCTTGAATGATGCGCCAAGTGCAGGCAATAGTAAGCTATCTACGCGAATTATCTTTGAAATGTGTCTCTCGTTAGTTCAAAGGTAAGGAAGTTTTTGTTGCTTGTAAGATGAAGATGCCTTAAATTTTGTGCCCTCCGTCCATTTATTTCTACAGTAAAGCGCGAGAGTTTATGACACATTGTTTTTGCTCTCATGACTCAGTTGCGTCTAGTTCTAAAATGAAAGCCAACGATGCTGAAAGATGAAGTTGCAAAATTTTTCGAAAAGTGAACAAGAAGAAGAAAATTGAGAAAACTGTCTGAAGTTTTGAATACAGAGTCGATACCTTTCGGTATGGAGTACTTGGTTCAAAAATGTGTAAATTTGACGCTTACGACTGATGGTGTAAAACATGAGGCCGACTAGGTAGGGCTGGCTTCCCGATGCTGTCCTGGTGGCCGTGAAGCGCCAGTAGCGGCCCGTTCCGGAGAAGCCGCCGAACATCTGCGGTTGGTTCGTCCCTGGCCTGACGCCCGTGGTGGAGTACACCGGCTTCCAAGTCACCTTGTCGTCAGACGCCTCCAGCTTGAAGGCCGTGACGTCGTGCGTGGTGTCCCCGTAGTTGGTGATCTGGATCGCAGACAGGGTGTAGACCTTCTGGAAGTCGAAGATGATCCACCAGTTGTTGTGGTTCATGGGCAGGCCTTGCGGGTTCCAGTACGTGTTGGGGTTTCCGTCCACGACTTTGTCAGGGCCGTTCTGTGCACCCGGCGAGCCAGCGGAAGTCATGCGCATGGATGTGGACAGAGTCTTGTAGTTGGGTTTCCCTGAAAAATGTATGAAAAAGAAAAGTCTGGATCATTAAATTTCCCTCGTTTAGTCATTCCTTTGTGTCGAAATGTAAGTTTAAAGTATCATCTAATTTCAGCAAAAAATTCAGTCAGATTTTGTTCTGACCTTCGACACCATAGAACTTGAGCCCGGTGACGTATGGCTGCCAGCCAGTCGTCGTTTTCGTGACCGTGAACCTCCAGTAGCGTCCGCTGCCGTAAAACCCGCCAAACGGCTGCGTCGTCTTCACACCTGCGCGCACGCTGCCGGTGGAGAACACCTGTGTCCAGGTGGACTTGTCGTCGGACGTCTCCAGCTTGAAGTTAGTGACGTCGTGCGTGGTGTCTCCGAAGTTCTGGATTTTAAAGCCGGAGAGGGTGTAGACCTTCTGGAAGTCGAAGACGATCCACCAGTTGTTGTGGTTCCTCGGCAGGTTTTGTGGGCTCCAGTACGTGTTGGGGTTTCCGTCCAGCACCGTGGCAGGGCCGCTGTTCGCTCCGTGAGTGCCTGCCGAGGTGATGCTACCGCTAGGCAGGCTCAAAGCCAGCCAGGAACCTAAAACAACAGTTGGTACTTGATTTAAAGTTAAGTAAAATTGATTAAAAAATCAATTTTCTCAAAGCTTTACGCAATAGAAAAACTAAAAAAGGTCTAATCGAAAACAAGCTGACTGAATTGAAGTGCGCTTTTAGCTTCAGACTTCATTTTTAATCTCTAATCTTCGAGCAAAACTGAACATTTTTTTACCTGATCCTTCTCCAACGGCTCCTTCTCCAACGCCCCCTCCAACGCCTGCTCCGGCGCCTGCTCCTGCACCTGCTCCGGCACCTGCTCCGGCACCTGCTCCAAGACCTGCTCCAAGACCTGCTCCAACGTCTTCGGCAACTTCGGTCACGGTTTCTTTTGCAGCGCCTGTAAAGATAATATTTTAGCCACTATTTATAAAGAGGTTTTTCCCTAGTACCCTAGTATGCTGGTCAAGTAGCAGATGTAAATAGGTCAAGTCAAGAAGTAAAATGATATTTTTTCTTACTTGCTCTGATACCGTAGAAGTCCAGCTCTTTAAGCCATGGTTGCCAGCCAGCGGGGGTCTGAGTGACGACAAACCTCCAGTACCGCGCTGTTCCATGGAACCCGCCGAACTCCTGGCGCTTGTTCGTCCCTACCTGCACGTTACCGACGGACTTGACGTCCTCCCAGTTGTACGGACTCCCACTCTGCGACTTTTGCAGCTTGAAGGCTTTAACGTCGTGCGCGGTGTCTCCGAAGTTGTTGATCGCGATTTGTGAGAGAGTGTGGGGCGCCTTGAGATCCAGCACGATGTACCAGTTGTTGAAGTGGCGGGCGAGGTCTTGTGGGTTCCAGTTGGTCGTGGTGTCCCCATCCAAGGCTTTGGCGGCGTCGTATGTCTTTCCTCCACTCTTCCATGGTCTGCCGGCGGAGTCCACAACCCAGGACGGGTCCTTCCGCAGCCATGCAGCTGGAGAGGAGGATGGAGAGTGAAAGAATTGTACTCCATCGCACAAAAACAACCGAAAAACAAAATCCAAGAACCCAACGCACGTCGACAATGAACAGCTTTAATCCATGGCATTAAGCAGGTTGGACACTCAGTGAAAATTATAATTGCAATAAGGCCAAAACTTTTTTTCATTTGTATTCCGAGCTTTTCTACCCTCGTCCCCTTATCTTATTTGAGAGTAGACGTATTTTCAACGTCCCTGTCGACGCCCTAGATTGTTGTTTTACGCGCTGTTTTGTTTATAGTTCCAGTGAAAATTCCAGCTAAACATTTCCCACCTGCTCCTGATCCAGACAGGCCTCCGCCAGAAAAGCCTCCTCCTGTAACATATGGTTTGTCACATAGGTACACTCCAAACTAGACTTCAATATACGCCCTCTTGCATGTAGCATATGTTTTCTCAAACTCCAAAGTAAACTTCAATACATGTATATGACCTCCTGTAAAATATGGTTTCTCAAACTACAAACTAGACTTCAATATACGCCCTGTCAGCCCGGTCAGCATACATTCTGCACCAAAGCACAGATTGTACTGGATGGAAATAAGCAGATACCTCAAAGTTCTGTCATTCCGACAATCGGGTTCTACTTCAAGCTGAACTAGACATGCTTGTAGATCAAGAAGCGAAAATTGCACAAGTCAACAGAAGGATGATCCTCTTACCTACTCTGCTTCCGTACAAGTCCAGTTCTCTGAGATATGGCTGCCAGCCCGAGTGGGTCTGAGTGACGACGAACCTCCAGTACCGCGCTGTTCCCTGGAACCCGCCGAACTCCTGGCGCTTGTTCCCTTTCTGCACGGTACCGACGGACTTGACGTCCTCCCAGTTGTACGGACTCCCACTTTGCGACTTTTGCAGCTTGAAGGCCTTCACGTCGTGCGTGGTGTCTCCGAAGCTCTGTACCGCGATTTGTGAGAGAGTGTGGGGCGCCTTGAGATCCAGCACGATGTACCAGTTGTTGAAGTTCCTTCTGGTGTTAATGGGGTTCCAGAAGGTCGTGGTGTCTCCATCCAAGGCTTTGGCGGCGTCGTATGTCTTTCCTCCATTCTTCCATGGTGTGCCGGCGGAGTCCACAGCCCAGGACGGATCCCTCCGCAGCCATGCAGCTGGAGAGGAGGGTGGAGAGTGAAAGAGTTGTACTCGATTGCACAAAAACAACCAAACAACCAAATCCAAGAACCCAATTGCCAACGCACATCGAGAGTAAACAATTTTAAACCATTGCCTTCAGCAGGTTGGAGACTCAGTGGAAATTATAATTGTAACATGGCCGGAACGTTTGTAATCTTATGTATTTATGTATAACTTTCAGTTATACTGATTTCATTTACATCTTTTGTTATGTACTTTGTATAATCTATCATTCTTTTACTTATTGTACCCCCTCCCCCCTGGGCCTCCTTGGAAATCAGCTATTGGCTGAAGGAGCTACCCAGGTGTCTAAATAAGTAAATAAAACTCTGTATTTCGAGCTTTTCTACACTCGCGAACATGTCTCCTTATCTTATATGAGAGTAGACGTACTTTAAATGTCCCTGTCGACGTCCTAGATAGTTTTTTATGCGCTGTTTCCTTTAAAGTTCCACTAAAAATTCCAGGTAAGGCTAAACATTTCCCACCTGCTCCTGATCCAGACAAGCCTCCGGCAGAGAAGCCTCCCCCTCCAGAACCTCCGGCAGAAAAGCCTCCTCCTGTAACATATGGTTTCTCATACTCCAAACTAGACTTCAATATACGCCCTCCTGTAACATATGGTTTCTCAAACTCCAAACTAGACTTCAATATGCGCCCTCCTGTAAAATATGGTTTCTTAAACTCCAAACTAGACTTCAATATACGCCCTAATGTAACATATGGTTTTCAAATTACAAAATAGACTGCAATATACGCTCTGCTGTTATATTTGAACATAATGAAGAACAGAACGATGTTCCTCTTACCTGCCCTGCTTCCGAACAAGTCCAGTTCTCTGAGATATGGCTGCCAGCCCGAGTGGGTCTGAGTAACGACGAACCTCCAGTACCGCGCTGTTCCATGGAACCCGCCGAACTCCTGGCGCTTGTTCCCTTTCTGCACGTTACCGACGGACTTGACGTCCTCCCAGTTGTACGGACTCCCGCTTTGCGACGTTTGCAGCTTGAAGGCCTTCACGTCGTGCGTGGTGTCTCCGAAGCTCTGTACCGCGACTTGTGAGAGAGTGTGGGGCGCCTTGAGATCCAGCACGATGTACCAGTTGTTGAAGTTCCTTCTGGTGTTAATGGGGTTCCAAAATGTCGTAGTGTCCCCATCCAAGGCTTTGGCGGCATCGTATGTCTTTCCTCCATTCTTCCATGGAGTGCCGGCGGAGTCCACAGCCCAGGACGGGTCCCTCCGCAGCCACGCACCTGGAGAGGAATATAGAGAACATAGATTTACACTCCGTTGCAAAAGCAATTTACATCGTTCGTTAATAACATCACTTAATGGTATAAGGCAGGTTATACATTCAAAATAATTGATAATTCAAAATGTGCCTCTCCTATAAATATTCTTCCTAATCTTTTTAGCATTGTGTCTTAAAGACGCTATGTGTTGCTATACTCTAGAAGTTAGTGCTTGAGATATTTGTAGACCGGACATTTCCCTACCTGATCCTCCTTTAGGCGAGCCTGCTCCCGCCAAAACGTCTGCAACCCAGAAAAGAATAAGAATTTCATCACTTTTACTCTGAAAAAGGATTTACCCCTTTCATATTTGTACAGTGTCAAACTGTGTCAATTTCTGGTCTTCATGAAGCCAAAAGCTACTTTGAACTCGTACATCGGCTGGGTAAAAGAACAAACATGAAACGCAAACCGGTTCCAAAATATATAGATGTTCCAATGAAAAGAAGAGACAAAACTAGTATGTCCGAGGGCACCATAGTGTTAGCCTAATACCTAAATTGACGACCGTGCTTTGTTTGGCATGGAACCATCTCACAAGGCAAGAGAACAGTCTTATGGTTAGGACTGTTATTCAAGGGTAGAATAAAAATGGTTTCCAATAACATGTTTAGCAAATCGTGAACAACATGTAAGCACCTTGTTCCTTTCGACGTTATCTATGACAAAAATTGTCACAATTAAGTTTTAGTTAGAAGACACGATACCTGAGATGAGATAAACCTCATTTCCCCAGGCTCCCCCTTCCCCGTCGGCTTTGCAGGTTGTATAAGACCCGTACTTCTTGTAGGTACTAAGGGCGTCAGCAGATCCAGCACACCAGCCGCCATTTTGGACTGCGAACACACTGAAGCCTTTTGACTTGGCCACCTGGTAGCACTTGTCGATGGCGTTGGCGCGTGCGGGATAGCTGCCGTCTAACCGTGCGTCTGCCCCCTCCAGAGTAGCGATGGCGCGATTTCCTGTGTCCTTCCAACAGCCGAGGCTGAAGTACGGCTTGGGAACATATCCTGTGGAAACAGGTACAAACTTGTTTTACTAAGATGTTTCAGTCATTTTGCCCATGCAAGTCTAGTTCTGTCCAGAATTACTCGGCCAGGCTAGGTATTTAACCCTACCTAGACCGGGCTTTTTTTGACATGGGTGGACCGGGGGGGGGGGGGCTCTTTTGACCCCCCTAAGAACTCACGAACGGTATGTCGTATGACCACCAAATTTTCAGAGAATGGTTTACTAGTGAAACTGTATCATATCTACAATTTTTATGTCGTTATGACGTAATATGACGTCATTATGACGTCATTAATGTGATTGTATTGGCCAAAACCGTCTAAATAGGTTTTTCCCTGAAAACTAAATGGTATTCAACATAATTGTACCAAAAGTGTTTATGACAGAATATTATGGTGTACTAAGTCTTATGTTGCCCATAGCAACACCGGTGACGTCATAAAATGACGTCATGCATATTTAAGATATCCGCCATCTTGGATCATCAATCTTGAATTTTCAAAAATAGTTTTTTTTCATGATAAAGCCTAAAATACATTGTAAACATACTAAAGACCTTCATTTAAACATTTTTTTAGAAAAGAAATGGAAGTATTGATGAAATTTTAATGAAAATAACCTGTATATACCTGTTCTAATGATATGGTCCGCCATCTTGGATTTTGGCCAATGACGTCATCAAATTAGCATAAATTATCATATTTAATGATAAAATTTACATAAAATTATATAGGATGTTATTAATATTAAAAACCATGAGTAACTTGACATAAAACCCATAAAATTCTATTGTTGAAACAAAAAGTACTAAATTTAGCAAAAAATGCCTGTCAGAAACCCGTTGCCATGGCAACACAAAAAATTATTATCTTATTCCAATGATAGAGAATTGTTGCCAACAATATTCTAGGAAAAGTCACTAAGTTTGGCCGTTCTACGGCTAGCCATTCAGACGCTAGGTGACATCAAAGTTGCCGCGGGCACTTTTACGCCCCCCCCCCCGGTCTAGGTAGGGTTAAGCTTCCCCACAAACATGGACCCTATCAGATACAAGTGCATTTTATATCTAAGGCTGCAGTAATAACATAGGCCGCAGGTGTCCTCGTTGCAAATGTCCTAAAAAGTTATTTGTACTAAAATAGCTACTAAATTACA